CGAGGACAAGAGATGAATTCACAATGACTACAGAAGGCTGTTTCTCAGGAGAAAAACTTCAAAAGTACAGAAACTTTCATTTTAGTAGACAGAGGAACCTACTTTAACTAAAGATGTAGCTATTGTTCCCAAGTATGGCCAGATAGGGTAATGACAATAACTGTTACAGTTATTCCTATTTTTAATTAATGCTTCTCTTTGAAATATTCTTCTCTTCTTTTGAAACTTCAGCTAACCAGTTTTATATCTTCCTCAGCAAAATAATATGCCATACTTGAAGGGTTAGAATAATGGATTTTTAAAATGGAAGAGATTGTACCAATGTACACATTACAATGGTGGACTTAATTTTTTCACTTTCCTGTATATCTGGGGGTTTTATTTTTTGTTCTTCTCTAGGTCTGATATTGTGAGGTTCTTGACACTAAGAACATCTACTTATATCAGTTTTGAGACATCAGAACAGTAAGTAATACTGTTATCGTTTGTATCTAGATGTCCCCCCAAAGTCTCATGCAGTCATGGGGCAGGCTTCTAGAGTTTGTGATTGGTTCATGGTCCAATGCTGGGATTATAGGTGTAAGTGCTATACCCATCCTGGGGTAGATAGCTTCTATGTAACACAAGGGACAGAAAGAGTCTTCTCTCATGCTCCTCTGTTTTGCTCTTGTAGATTTTGCTGTCTTCTGCTGCTGTGAACTGTTGCTCCTGTGCCATGCCACCCTGCCTTGGAGCCAGCTGATTATGGATTAAAACCTTCACAAACTGTGAGCTAAATAAACCTTTCCTTCCTTAATTTTGGGTATCTGGTGTTTTGTCTCAGCAATGAGAGAAAAGTAACTAAGACAGAATTTTATACCAGAGAACTGGGGTCATTGCTTTGACTGAAACTGACCATGTGGTTCAAGAGCCTTTGGAAATGGCTCGTGGGAAGAGTTTGGAAAGGTTCAGAGATGTTGCCTGAAAGAATAGAGCTGGAATGCCTTCAGCTGTTCTGTGTGGGAGAATCTGGTTAGAGCTCAGAAGACCAGAAGGCTGATGGAAATCCAGCTGGTAAAGACTGGGCTTGTGAGGTTTCTGCTGGAAAGAAGGACCACGTTGGCTGTGGGACTCCAGACGATGTGTGTTATGACTTGGCAAAAAGTTTGTCTGCCTTTTGGTCTTGTCCAGAGATTTTTCCTGAGACTAAGATTAAGGGTGGCGGACTAATCTGGCAGAAGAAATTTCAAGGCAGTTGAATGTTGAGGCATGGATAGGGGCTTTGGCCAGATTTATGTTGTGAATCAAGAGCAGAGAGCCCAGCAGGATTATTTAAAACATTGTGAGTTTGGCCAGAAAAAACTCCAGTAAAGCTTTGAACTGCAAACATAGAGCAGAGAAGATCCTGATTGCTGAAAAGGAACAGGAAAATAAAAAAATGGCCTAAGGACATCACAAGATGCAGCAAGTCTCCACCTTTTGTAGCCTCAAAACTGCAAAAATGAAAGACTTTGCTTTGAGGAAAAAGCTGTAGAGCATCATGTTTCAGAATGGCAGCTACCACACTAGGTTCCAAAATGGTGGTGGCTGCACCAGATTTCGGAGTGGCGGCAGCATAGAGAATTTGTTCCTCAGAACTGGATTCAGAGTGCTCAGCAATCCAGTCACTTGACTCCTACAGCCAAGAAAAAAGAAAGCCTGGCTACCGTTCCTGCTGGAAGCAGACCTGGGCATCATCCGCATGGCGCTGGTTTTAGGTGCATGAAGAATGCAATAGTTGTGGGGTTAAGAAAGCTTCCACCCCAATTTCAGAAGGCCTGGGAGGCCAGGCAGTGTGCCCCTGAGAGGACAGTGTGTGAAGCTGTATGGGTGAAGCCAAAGGTGCAATGGAGACCCTAAAAGTTTGGAGAAGCCAGGAACATGGATCATGTGAGAAAACCTGCAAGGAGGGAGCAAAGTGGGCCAAAGAGAGAAGCTGTGGGAACTACAACCATAGAGGCAGAATCATGTAAGCCCTTTGGAGCTCACAATTTACCACAGATTGCTTTGGATGTTCCACATGGAACTACAGGACTTAATGTTGCCCTGCTGGATTTTGAACTTGATTTAGTCCCAATGCTTTGTATCCCCCTATTTGTACCTTTTGGAATGCTGCTTATCTTGTGCCACTGAATGTTGGAAGTGTTTAAATTTTCATTTGTACAGTTGATCACAGTAAAGAGTTTGCTTTAGATCTTGGAGGGGACTTGGGACTTGGAGTTTTTAGCAATGCTGAAACTGTTAGAATTTTGGCAACTCTTAAAGATGGACTACATGCCTTTTGTATAAATGGATGTACATGAGTCTTTGAGGGGGGCAGGGGTGGAACGTTACAGTTTGCATCTAGATGTCCCCCCAAAGCCTCATGTAGTCGTGGGGGCAGGCTTCTAGAGTTTGTGATTGATTCATGGCTCAATGATGGGATTGTTAAAGGCAGCTGAGTTGGATAGAAATATTATAGGCAGTCAGCCAGGACCAGGCCCTCGAAGGAGCCAGTATGGAAGACAAGATACCTTGCAAATAAAGGTGTATTTGCTGTGGACCAGACCTCAAGACAAAGGATTAAACAAATGCACCCACATACCTCTCTAGGGATGAATATCATGGATTGATATTCTAAATAGGTAGCAATCACCTTGAAAAATCCAGGAAGAGTCACTAGTCCAACCCCCTACAGGAAAAGCCCCTGTTCTGTATTCATACCCACTTGCTACTGGCTTCCCCATTTGATCCCAATTAAATCAATTTCACCAAACACTTGTAATCTTATTGGCTGACCATAGTTTTGTCCCACCTCATGCCTGCCTTGTAATTTCCCATTTTCCCTATGGAGGTGGCCCGCCTCACCTCATGGTTTTGCTCTATAAAATCTCTGAGAAGGACAAGGTCCTTGGCAACCCACTCAGGCCCCCTTCTGTCCCTCCCTTGGACAGAAGCTCCCTTTCCCTCATTAAATGTATTCTGCTCTTAATCTCCGTTTTTCCTAAAATTCATTCCTCAATTTTAGAGAACACAAATTCATCCAGATATCGTTTCAGGTTGGGAGTTTCTGTTTTCCTGTATCAGAATTATAGGTATGAGTGCTATACCAGCCCTAGGGCGAGAAGCCTGCATACAGTATAAGTGGGGGAGAGTCTTTTCTCATGCTCTTCCCCTTTTGCTCTTGTACCTTTTGCTGTCTTCTGCTGCCATGAACTGTTGCTCCTCTGCCATGTGGCACTCTGCCTTGGAGTCAGCTGATTATGGACTGAAACTTCCACAAACTGAGCTAAATAAACTTTTCTCTCTTTAATTTTGGGCATTGGGTATTTTGTCTCACCAATGACAGAAAAGTAACCAAGACAACTACCTTGGGCATTTTAGTATTCTCTTGATGGGAATGTCAAAACCAAAGCAGCCCTCATTAGTAGTATAGTTTTTAAAGTAAGTATATAATGTATCACAGCAGTGTCTGCATTTTACATGACTTTTTAAAAGCTATAATCACTTCTACAATATAATATTCTCACAAAATATTTTTCCCAGTTGTTTCAGGAAATGCAGCAACCAAAACTGTAACAGCAGACCTGTCGTGTATGCCCCTAATTTAAGGAAAAGAGACAGGATCAAATCAGCCAAAAACATAAAGTTAATGCAAAAGGTCACATTACTGGGAAATAAATGGCAAATTTGCTTTGTCGTTTTGATTTCCACTATTATTTATAATAAGCAAGCATCCTTACCTCAAGATTGTCCCAGAAGAAGAACAGATTACATAAGTGAATTTAGGATGATTTCACACACAGACCACAAGAGCCTTCCTTCAGTGACAGCATATCCTAATGGTTTCATGTGCTTTTTCTTCCCTTAAATACTAAGAAGGCATCAGTAAAGGATTGTTATGGTTGATACATTGTGTCAACTTGGGGAGTCTAGAGGTTTGGCTAAGTGACTCAGCAGTTCTGCACCTTGGGGTGAAAAGGACATGTCCTTCCTGTTCTAGGATGCTGTTCATTGTGCCAATGGTGAGAAGTTTGGAAGGTTAACTACGTGATTCAGCAGGGAGCCAGGGTGCCTACTTTGATTTAGTTAAGGTCTTTTGCTTAAGGAGCAAAAATAGAAAGCCCCACCTGAAACAAATGGGAGAAGCAAACGGGTACAAGGGATCATGAATGCCAAGGCAGGGTGGAAACAACCAAGAAATAACTAAAGGAACAAAAGCACTTCCATTGCTACATTCATATCTCTAATTCTAATCCTTTTTCTACTTCCCAGTGTATCCCATCTGTTTGGACAATTATGAAATTTGTGCCGTGCTATAGATACTCAGTATAAAACAACCAAACATCTCAGCAGTGTTTATAGGACAGCCAAGACAGTGGACAATAATTCCTGCCTCTCTCTTCAAAAAACACAGAGCCTTTTGCAGGCAGCATCAGGAGGACAGGAGCTGAATAATAATATTTCACAGAATTATATGCCTTGTCCTATGCTGTATCATTAATCACTCCAATCACATGAAAGAGAATTAATGCCTATAACATGGAATTAGGAATGGTGGCTAGCTATGCTTGTCTGTTATTATGAATCCATACAAACTGTTTTCCACAGGTCTAGAAAACCAACTGGATTTAAATGATGCTATTCAGTGTGTTTTACAAAAGAAGATTCTTCAAATAATAATTCTGGATTCTATTTTTGCACATAGTTTTGGTAGTTCAAACATTCATAGTTTGTGGGAGCTAGGACAGTTAAAAACAATGCTAAAAAAAAACACTGTCTGAGATTGATACTGATTCACATTGTCTCACTAAAGAAATCTTTTAAGTTTTTCATCCATCAGAATCACCAAGGCCCCCACATACTACCACCTCTGAGCAATTAGTCTGTGAGGAAGAGGTGTTTTGTGAGGCTTTAGAGATAAAAGAGTTCAATAAGGAGAGGGAAGGTTCCAGGGTAGTAATCACTGAACTACTCACAGTGGGGAACTGTGGAAGACTTACATTTATGAGCCTTCAGTCCTTCGAAGGAAACCGGTCCAATCTCATAATACTCATACTCCCAGGTGTAATCGGAATTGGATACAGATTGCTGGAAGGTTCTGTTAGAAATTAACCTCTGGGCAGACATCTCCACCCTGCACAAATGGAGAAAGGCAAGCGCAAACCTGTTAATTCATACACAACTGCACTTACTCTAATCAATTGTGACATTTAGGAATTCAGGAACAAAAGCCTCAAGGGGCTCCTACTCCCCAGGTTAGGTAGAGGTTCTCAGCACCTGCCAACACCTCCCACCATGTGGTCATTATCTTTTATCCCCTCACTAGCCTGCAATGTGTTTGAAATCAGATACTATATCTTTTTTGTGAATTTGCCTCAGTGCATGGCATGTAACCAATTTTCAATAACTAATGATAGAAAAAAGAGAAAGAGGGAGAAAGTGTTCCACAATGTCTAAGGGTACAACTTCAGCCATACCACACATACCTGTGTGAGTATGTAAATCATTTATGGAAAATAAGTAAATCAGTGTAAACAATGAACTAACTCAGCACACACCTATTATGTATCATTAAAGATGCACAGCCGAAGTATAACAAAATGGAGTGAAGCAAAGAGACATGGAGAGCCAAAGCTGCATCATGAAACAGGATCCTCAGTAAAGGACCCCTTATGCCCACTGCTTACCCCTTAGGTTTGTCATATTTTCAGGATTTCCCAGGTATAATCTTTGTTAATGGTGATTATTTTGGACTACAAAATTCAGACTTCTTTCGAAGGCACTGGGAAGCAGGGATTCCAAGAGAAAAGTCAACACAACCTGAGTCCAATTACTGGGTAGCTGCTGTGTGCAAGACTGCCCTCTGCAGGGTGGGCAGAGACCCATGAAACACAGACCAGGGCCCCACACGCCTTCCTCTACAATGAGGAAAGGGACAAGTAGACAAATAGCAGTAATACAGGGGGAAGTCTAAGTGAAACACCAGCCAAAAACTAAGATACATCAAGCAGTCACCACCACTGCACTCACCCTACAAGAACTTTCTGAAGTGCGCTTCTCCTGTGTCACTGTGGGTCAGGGTCATCCACAACTCCCTGTAGAGCATAACTCCCAGAATAGCTAAAGCAAAATCATCGCAATCTTTCTTCCCCAATCATGAGTGTCTCCTTCCCCTCATCCCTTCTTCCCCATCCCCAGACCTGGACCCCACAGAAAAAGATTTCAATCCCTCAGCATATACTGTGCAAAGGATGGGTGCTCAGATCCAGAAATGCCTGCCAGTGTCGGAAACCAGAGTGTGACTCTGAGGCCCACTCAGACAAATCACTCCTCCAAAGGCAGAAAAGAATATGCCAATCCTGATTTGGAAAAGACACAAATTATAAGGAAAGGTGACCTTTAAGCAAGTATTGAGCCCCCCTTCCAAAGCCTGCACAGGAATAATATAAAACCATTACCACAGTATCATCTTTGGCCTTTTAATTATTTGAACATGAAGCTCTTTCCCTCAAAGATAAAATAAATTTCCTCAGGAAATGAAAATTAACAATACAAACTTAAGAAACAGTATCCTCACCTATAAGCACTTCCTCTAGCAGAAAAGAACTGTGACAAAAGCCGAGGAGTGTTCAGGGGCACGGTTCAGAAAGAAATGGCAGAGCAAGATAAAGCCAATCTCTGAAGGAGGTATTAAGAACTCCATGCCACATAGGAACAAGACACTGGATGGAAGTCAGAAGGCCAGGGCCTTCATCTTTGCTCTGCCTCCATTTCCTGTATCTTTAGGCCATAATTTCAGCCCCATTTTCCTCATCTGCAAAACTGACCATGACTACCTGGAAATACTATTGTAGGATCATCACCAGCTTGGACCACTTCTTGGGTCTCCTCACTGGTTTTTCTGCTTCTGCTTTGAATTTTTATACCAATGAGTCTTTATTCATTGTATTTTCCCAGGGAAATAAAAAGGGAATGGAAGAGTCAGAATGTATGTTATTAAATGATTAGAAGTAGGGAAGGAAGGAAGCACCCTGGTACAGAAAAATGAACCATCAAATAAATATACATCTGAGTGATGGGGTCACCAAAGCTCAAGGGGACTTAAGTCTAGGGAAGCGGAAGCATGAAAGAACAGGCAAGTACTGCCTTTCCCTCCCTCCCTCCACCCATCCTTTCCACACACTCAAGATTTCACACAAAGCTTTTGTTGCTGGCAGTAAACATGGAGTTACATCCATCTCCCACTGAACAGTTTTGTGGACCCTCTGACATTAGTGTCTTGCACCTTCATAAAAGTTCTTGAGTAACTTGAATAAAATATACATTCCTGGGACTGGGGATTTAGCTCAGCGGCACAGCGCCTGCCAGGCAAGTGCAAGGTCATGAGTTCAATTCCTGGTACCAGAAGAAAAACAAACAAACAAACAAAAAAACGAATATACATTCCTATTCCTTCCCTGGTTCCCTGATCACACTTTCTGCACAGAAGGCCTCCAATTGCTTCTCTCCAGGATGCCAGACTGGGTAGCTTGGATCCATCCAAACAGCACAAAATACGTCAAGAAACAGTCTTGATTCAGGAGGTCAAGAGCAAGGGGCAGGGGCTTCTTGCTCCTTCAGATTTCTGCAGAAGTCATTTCAGCATTGCAGAGATACTTCAAGAATTAAATATGTATATGTGAGTGTTTTAGGTTTTCTTTTGATGGAAAGGAAGTTTGGAGTCAAGTTTTTAGGGCAGATCTTGTCTAGAATATGAAATGGGGGAAAGGGGAACACAAGGAAAATTCAAGCCCTTTCTGGGTAATTTAGTGACTTAGCAAGACTCTGCCTCAAAATAAGAAATTTAACAATGCCTGATAAAGCCCCTGAGTTTGATCCCCAGTACTGAAAAAAAAAAAAAGGATGGTATCTTGGTTACTTTTCTCTCATTGCTGAGACAAAATACCTGACATCCAAAATTAAGGAAGGAAAGGTTTACTTTGCTCAGAAGAAAAGATGTTTCAAGATCTGCCTCTATTCTTACCTCTGGCATCTACTCTCCACTCAGCCAGTCTCAGACATTGTCATTGCTTTGCTTAAAACTTCTCATGGTTTCCCATGGCTCTAAGTGGTTCTTCAAATACCTCTCGTTTTTCTCGTACAGGCTTTTCCTTCTTGCATGAGTATTTTTCCTACCAGCCCCATACTAAACCCTCCCTTTTTCCCTACATATTCTTATCCTCTAGGTCAGAGGTGGGCAAATCCAGATCACTGCCCACTGTACCAGTTACAATCCACTAGAAGAATATAATATATAAAGGATTTGCAAGGTAGGCTTACAACGACCATCTGCAGAGTCAGGTATGGAAGAATACAAAAGGGCTGTCTGTGTGCTGGAGAGCTGGAGCACCTAGCCAAAAGTCAAAGGCCTAGAGTTCACCATAGAGTCTCATGCAAGTACATCAGCTGAAGGATATGAATTGGAAGCCTGAAGATGAATGTCCAATGGAAATGGCAAAGACTGGAGCTCTTCCAAAGAAGCAGAAGCGAGATTTCCTTCTTCTTTCTCTTTGCATTCCATCTCAGCTACATGATTATTAGTTGACCCAGGGTGGGTCTTCCCTCTTGAGTCAGTCAATCATTGAGACACAGCAGAACTGTGCTAAATTAATCCATAGAATAAGAAACCATGTGTCTTGGTTACCTTTCTCTCATTGCTGAGACAAAATACCTGACACCCAAAATTAAGGAAGGAAAGGTTTACTTTGCTCAGTTTGTGGAGGTTTCAGTCCATACTTGGCTGGCTCCAAGGCAGAGTGGCACATGGCAGAAAGCAACTGTTCATAGCAGCAGAAAACGGCAAGAGCAACTAGAGCACAAGGGGAAGAGCAGCGGTAAGCAGGCTCTTTCCCTCCCTTACATTATATGCAAACTACCTGCCTCGGGGCAGATGTATCACTCACACCAATGAATCAATCATAAACTCTAGAAGCCTGCCCCATGACTGCATGAGGCTTTCAGAGGACCTCCAGAACCAAACCATAATACCATGTTTCTTATTCAAGTTGACACCACAATTAACTATCATTCCTGTGTCTATGTACAGCCTTCAAGAGAAGGATGTTTATGTTTCTAAACATATGAAAAAGTTGAGTGTGGTAGTACACACCTGTAATCACAGCACTCTAGAAGGCTGAGGCTGGAGGATGGCAAATTCAAGCCCTTTCTGGGCAATTTAGTGACTTAGCAAGAGTCTGCCTCAAAATAAGAAATTTAAAAATGCCTGAGAAAGTCCCTCAGTTTGATCCCCAGTACTAGAAAAAAAAAAAAAAGGATGGTATCTTGTGACACTGAACATTGTATAAAATTCAAATATCAGTGTCAATAAGAAAGGCTTCTTTGCAACAGAGCCATCCATTCATCACTGTATTTTCTATGGCTTCTTTAGCATTATAATAGCAAAGATGAGTAGTTGCAACAGACATGGGATGGCCCAAAAACCATAAAATACTTCCTAGTGTTTTACAAAAAATGTGCTTGCTAACCTCTGTTATATACCCATGAAAAGAATTACCTGAGATTTCGTTTTTCCACTAGGAAAATAAAGACAACAATACCTACATAATGGAGATGCTGCAAAAAACTAAATGCAATGTTGCACAAAAAGACTCAGGTTATGATAAGTAAATAGTAGCCAGCACTGCTATGATTAGCTAAGACAGGCTGAACTGCGACAGAAAAGCCTAGGTTTGTCCTGCCAGATGCTTGGTACCAACTGCCCAGTTGCCCAATTCCTATCAAATTTACCATGTGGTTATTTGGTCTCTGTGAGTAAAATTATAATGAAAATATATTGGTCCAGGTTGTTTAAAAGCCATGAGATCAACATTTATATCCTGGGATTCATGCAACTCTAACATATTTGTGAATTGATCAATTTCACTTGAATGGAAAGTAAGATAAAGTCTGAATTAATAATTCCCTTTTAAAGGAAAATAAGATAAAATCTGGTGTGATTGTATTATTTACATTGGAAATCAATATTCTAGCCAGTGAAATGAGCAGCACAAAAGGAGGCACCAGGCTTTGTGTAGAAAAGAAAAATAATGGGAAGTACATAGAACAAAGATCAGACAGGGAGTGTTTTCTGTCCTC